ACTTGTTTAACAACTGTACATTCTTCTATCACCTTGGAAGCATTAGTGTATTTGACTGGGAAAAAATATTAAACTTTTTGATTCCAATTATCATTAATGAGGTTTTTTTTGTCTATATACAGGTATGTATATTAATATTGCTACCATAACAATCTGGTAGTTACACGATTTGCAGATGAACTGAAATGGGAAATTAATGTTTTGACACTCTAAGAATTCATTCTTTTACAGAAAATATATCACTGGCAACTTCACAAACAGTTATTACTTTGATAATTGATCAACATTTAATTGAGGACTGTCAAACAAGCTGCTATTAAGAAGGTAAGAGAGTTTTCTATGCAGCACAAATGAAGTTAGTATATCAGAGACATGCTGGAGATCAGCTCTAAGTTGAGAGCTCACAACCACTTCATGATAGAGATGCCAGGCTAATCTAATTAAAGTACCCAGCTCCTTGACTAGCTCCACCTGGCATCTCTGTTGCATTAGTAAACTCAAAGAACTTTTGTCAAGCTAAACACACTTACATACAAATGTCATCAAGGCTCAAGAACAACTGATACTTAGTCTCTAATCTGCACAGACCACTTAGAAAAATGAGGTACTGCTCGGCATCACTTTGGGACGCCTGTGGAGGCAGGTGCACAAAAAAAGCAATCCCCTCCTGCCCAGCACAGTGCCCTGATTTTAGGGATCCTGCACCCAGCCTGGCTTGGAGCAGGGTGTGGTCCCAGCCGAAGCAGCACTTGCAAATGAAAAACATACCATGCCTTTAACACCCAACTAAAAGAAGTTTTCCTAAGTAAGGCTTGCCCTGACACACAACAAGGGATCAATGGCTAGGATCTGGAAAGACACAAATCCTTCAGCTCTCTGCTGGACTCAGTCTGATGAAATGATGCTGCCTCTACTGCACAAGTATTTGACTCTTTATGACCAAACCCCAGATCCTGGCTGCAGGTCACGTCAGACTTCACTGCCCCTGGCCCTGGTGGACCAGGAAAGACATATATCCCCATCTGAAGCCTTTACGGACAGCTGTCAGCCAGAGCACCTGGTAGCCACAGTACCTGATACAGTATCCAGAAGGGAAAACACCACAGTTCTCACTGGGATCCTAGTTTTAGCCTTCACTCTGCTGCCTGGCCTGCTTGGAGCCCATTTCTACCTGCCCATCCCTTTGCCAGGCAGCACAGACCACCCCGCCCTGGTGGGGCACACGTTTGTCCTTTCTCCATGCCATTCTGCACAAGGCCACGGACACCGTGGGATCAGGATCCCTGAGGACTGGACACAAGCGGGCGTCTCTGCGTACGAGGTGTGGCTCTGTCAGAGCCCACCCAACGGGCCAGGGACGAGGCAGGCACTGTGTGTGTGACCAGAAGAGACTGCAGAGACAAGAGGACACAACGCTTCCTCAGCGTGGGGGTGCCCCCATGGCAAACAAGGCTGGAGGTTCTTCTACTGCCCAAATAAGCAAAACTATTCCTGGAAGCAGCAGAGTTCATATCAATATTTCTGCCAGGATTAAGATCCAGGTGAGCAAGAATGGAGTTTCTCTAGAACTGGATTTAAATCAAACCGCTTAAGGTACTCAGCATTCAGACTTTTCAGTTTTTCCAGCAAATCCTATGGCTTGAAAGCCCCTTTCCCTGTTTGTTATGTACTAATTCCTATACAATAAACCTCTTAACTTACAATACTACAGCACTCCCTCGTCTTCTGAATCTTGCCAGTACTGGATGTCCAATACAAAACAAAGATACAGTAGTACAAATGTGCAGATATTTAGGAATATTAAATAAGCAGCTTTTTAAATTAATATAGGCAGTACAAAGCATTTTGAGTTACGCTGTCTACATATGGCAAATCTTATAGCTAAACTTCAAAATACAAAGAAACAGCCAAGCTAGTGCAATTGGAAATTAAATAGCTAAGACTGTGACAAGAGAAAGAAAAAAAGAAAGTAAAAAAACAGTACAGGTGAAAGATAAACAATCCAAATCATAAACTGGCAAGGACAGTCTGCATAATACTGAAAGTGTAGATGACTTTCGTACTTATCTCCATTCATGGTCTTTCCTCAGATTGTTTTAACAATTGTACACAGACTGGAAAAAAAAGTTTCTGAAAGAAACCAACAACACAGCTCAAATGTAGAGAGAAAAATACAACAGCCACAAACTACTGTGTATATATACATATTAAGGAAGCAGGCAGTGCCTGTGAACAAAATACCACCCGGTAGTTTGCCTGGCTCGGAGATTATCAGATGAAACTTGCTTGGTTTTCTATGGAAGATGGGATCGCCAAGCAGCAATTCATTAGGCATTTCTCCTGGTAAAACACCTCCTTCGCTTTACTTAATTTCTTTAAAGATTCAAAGTGGATCCTTTAAGGGTGCAGGTGCTTTGAAATTTGAACAGTAACCAAAAGGACTTTTTTAGGAATTCATTAAGACCAGATTTTTATAGTTCGGTATATGAAAATGTTGCAGGAAGTCTGTATGTTAATACTGTTAATCAGAATTAAATAAAGTGGACAGGCGGAAGTAAGATGGAGAGCTGACAGTGCTCTGTCAGTTGCAGAACGCCTCCTGTTGAGTTGTGAGTACAGGATTTCCTCTCTTCTAGCCTCATAGGAGACTTTTTGTGAAGAGAAAGAGTAAGTGGAAGTGGGAAATGGGAAAGCCACTCCCCAGGATGGTAAGCTTCTCTGCAAGTAGATCCCCCTTTGAAACCAGATGGCCATGAGTCTTAAGTGTAGAACTGGTTAAGTTTTGGTTATGCAGTCTGGACAGAAAAGCAAGTCATGCACTGAACAGTCCCTGTTATAATAATGCTGCAGGTCATGCAACCACATCACTGCAAATAAAAGAATAAAGAAGAAAGTTAAAAAGCAGATAACATATTACTGTTGAAAAAAAAAACCAACAAAACAAACAGAGAACAGAACAGGTCCTTTTAAAAGCAGTTTAGTAAGGCCACCTCTACTTAAGAGTTGTGCAAATTCACAGAGAAAATACCTTTGCCAAGCAACTGTTCAAATTAACAGGAAGGTTACAGGCCAGTAGTTGGAAAAAGCAACAAAATAGCCTTGGTCAATATCTAAGTTTAGCTGTAATTAAACTTCACACACTTCTGAGTAAAATTCTTCAGGGAACCATTCTTTAACTAATAAAGCCATGGAAAATAAGTTTACACAGCAATGAGCAATTCTCAGGCATTCATGCTGTCTGTGAGTGTAATTGGTAAAGCAAGGTAATGTGAAAGGTGCCCACCCAATTCTGCATGTGTTTACGTGCTAAAAGATAATCAGAGTCACAACGACTGTCTTGAAATCTTGGGCACCACTAAAGGCATTTAAATTTCATCAGATCTCATCCTGTGCATGAGGCTCAACATCACTGCCCCACTGCACTGGCAAGTTCTACCCCTTGCATGAAAATACAGGTTTGAATTGCCAGAAAATGATACGTGTTCTTGTTAAAGTAAGCTGAGTCGGAGTCACCAAGCAGTAAAGAGAGCACCCCACTGCTGCAGAAGGGAATCTAAGTTCGCAAGAGAATCGGAGAGGTTGGCACACTTCTCCATCGTCACTGATGCACCCTTTTTCCTGGCCAGTGTAACTGGAATGGAATGCCTTACTGACACAGCTACGGTGCTTCCACTTTGCCCAGGTAACACAGATGTCCCTACACAGCACTGGCACAGCACTAAATGGGCATTTTTGTTTTCATATTGCAAAGAGCAACTTGGCTTCACCAGACTGAAATTAGAGCCTGTTTCCCCACTTCCTTCTCCCCTGTATTGCACTGGTCAAAATTCATTCTAAGAACGCTTCTTGTGATGGGGCAATCCAGGTTAAATAGATAAAAAAGAGTATTTATGCTACAAGTCCTGTAGCTTACATATCCCTCTTTTTTCCTTCTCATTCATCCACCCAGAATACTAACTAACCATAACTGAAAACTACACAGAAACACATATCAAATGGAATAAAAAATTTAACACATTCAAAATATTCAAAGACCTTGAGGGTGTATATTTTGAGCAATCATTGTCTTTTAAGCTTGCTTGGCACTGCTTGGTGCATAAGGTTACACAGTTCAGGATTAATATGAAGATCACTGTAGTTATTCTATAAAAATTCTATAAAAAATAAAAAGTTAAAGCTACATAAGCATGTACCTATTCTACTGTGTACAAATGAATATAATCCTTTAGTCTCACCTGGCTATTGCTTAGCTCAAACTTATTATTTAGTAGCACTTGAAGTGTCCTTCAAGTGTATGTTGGACATACATAGAAGAGACACTTCAGGCTTCTATTTGAGTCAATAGTACTTTTGAAAGGTCTTGTAAACTCAGGACACTATTATCTTTCAAGTATGTAAAAATTCATCTGTTAGTGCCCTTTCATGACTAGAAATTCTTATCATGTTCTAAAAATAGCTGTCTGTCAATTTCTCTATTTTAAAGCCACCTGCTGAGGCAGCAACACATAGAGAGATGCAAGATGTGAGGGTAAATTGACTGAGCATAACCTGTCACTGCATCTGCAGCATCTTTAGAAAGACACAGTTTATGCAGCTGACAGTATGTCTAAGGAGTGACAAAGAGAATACAAAGCAGATTATAAATTTTAAAAATGGTGGCCTTATAATGTAATGCTTATAATTATTTCAAGACATTACTGATACTGCTAAACAAAAGCTTAAAGTCTCTTTCAAAACCACTGATGCCTCCAAGAAAGAAGTTTACTCTCCAGCTTACTAACCTTTTGTGGCTGTGAACAATAACCTCTACTTCACAATATTTTAAATTATATAACTGATGTTATATTCAAATTCGAATCAAAAGTCTGATGGTCTTATTACAACTATTTTATAACTTTATAAATACTACACCACTGGGGATTTTCTCTTAAAATTCCATCCACTTTCATGATCAGGCTAACAACATGAGCGTGCTAACAGTAATTACTGGACTTTGTTAGCTCTCTTCTCTTCAAGTTAGGTATAATCATTAGGGATTCAATTTCCATTTCCAGAATATACTACTCTATACCTGTGGAAATACTTGCTTTTGCAGTATTTCAGATCTATGCCATGCTACAATAGTCAGCAGTCCTTCAAAGTGCTGACAAACAATTGAAACAAACACGTTCCTCTTTCTGAAATCACTGCATCTGATCACAAAGGACCTCTCTAATGCAAAGCAATTAATAAAATCAGCACAAGAAAGGAAAGGCTGCCCAAATGACCTGTATTTCCCTCTGCTAGGAGTATTTTTCATGTTGTATGAATCATTCTCTGAGACCCATAGCAGCAAGACATAGCTGCAAGAAATTTTTTATCTGCCAAATGCAATCTATTTTCAGCCTGGAAATGACACCATATGCAAAGGGGACAGAAGGATATGCAATTTTCCAAACGACTTTACATGCACAGCAAACAGCAGCAGAGCAAACTCATGATTTGCCACCAGAGCCAAATGATGCAGAAATACATTTCAGGATACTCCTGCACTACCTTGGCAAGGCCCAAAGGTGAAGGTAGAATCTGGACCACAGAAAAGCTGACAGCAAGACCATCCCCAGCAGATGAGGACTTCAAGTACAGCAGTCAGCACAAGTTCCTACTGATCCACTGACTACAATCTGACATCAGGACAATCTGTCTGGGAAGCTGTGGCTAAACTGTCAGGTGCTGTTTCAATGCCCCATGGGACGGTATGATTTGTCAAGTTTCCTTGACAAGCCCCCCAATCAACATTCATTCATTGCCTAATTCAGTGAGCTAATGCATTTTAAAAATAAACTTTATGTCCCAACATGTCAATGAATACACAAAAATATAATCAAAGAAAAACAGAGGACGAAGCTAGCTAAGTCCTCAGCATCACCAAATGGTACAATGGAGCTGGCATCACAGTCAAAATTTACAGGGTTTCACTGTACCAGATACAAGAAGTCTGAGGTTGCAGTGGCTGAGTAAGGTTACAGAAGTAAGGCAATCCAATCAGCCATGTCAGGACATATTTTTGATTCCTTAGGAGTGACAAACTGGAGGCATGGCTAGGATCCTACCTAGAATATGACATTCACTCCAAAAACCTCACCACTTGGAAGTACAGCCTGATAAATCCATTTAGCTGTTTATTTATGCAATGCCAGGTGAGGAAAATGCCTGCTAAATTTGGTTAGGAGATACTGAAGTTTATCAACACTATCTTACTGCAAAACACAGAGTTCACATTCTACCTAAAACACATGTGCAAAATCAGCATAGCATAGCTGAGTGCAAAAATACCTCCCTCATCAATCCTTGCAAAAAGTCAATATGTTGGGCACAAATAAAAAAATTTCTATACAGTAAGTAAAACTGAAATACTGCTTTACTTTATAGGAAAAAGGAAAGCAAGCCACATTCAGCATAGTCTTTCTCCAAGCCACTAACAAGAAGAAAATCTGTTAAGTGTATAGTCTCATATACTAGAGACAGGAAAAGCAAAAGCTACTTGCACATGTCAAAATACCAAAGACTTTAAAATTGCCAAAAAACTTTTAAATTTTCTTGACAGCTTACACATACCACTTACTATTTGAGATCATAATAAAGCAGTAATAGGAATAGTCATTGTTAATTCTTTCATACATATATAAAAATGTCAGCGCTCCTTACAGAACAAAGAGCCACAAAACACTTGCAGAAGCATTACTGCTAACACGAGTGACACTTCAACAGGACAAGATTGCCGTTTGATTTCTTCCAAACAGAATGAAAGGCATCTTGTAGCCATTACATATTTATTTCATTTTGCAATATACAAGGTTGTATATTCTGGACATGTATTTACCTTTGCACTGTGGGTGGAACACACAACCTTTAAATCAGAGTACTTCAGTTTTCAAAGCACTTAGAAAATGCATGTTATGATCTGGTTAGGTGTTGCTATCAAGAAAACAGGGAACTTGAATTTTTTTTTTTTTCTGTAATGTCTGATCAGATATGCTAAAAAACTCAACCCTCCACAGAAGTACGTGAACTGGACTGCACATCTGAACACATCCTTTTAGGTCAGAAACTAAGCTTCAGCTCTAAACAATGAAAATATTTATCTATTTATCTGTTATCTTTTATTGGCATCAATTAAAATCTGTCAGAAAGATTATTCTGGGCAGATCCTCAGCACAGTGCCCTGCAAGTACTCTCATGAACACCTCAACTGTTTTATCTCTGACCTGGAGAACCTCTTTTCTTTAAGCTCAGTTGTAAGGTTTTTTTCTGTAGTGAACTGGACAGGATATAGCATTGGCTTAGTAATTGCCACTGCAGTTTTGATGTAAACAGTCTTTCTTGCCTCAGGGGAAAAAAGTATTCCCAAAAATACATTCTCTGAACTATCTAATGTACTAACAGAATTCTGTTCCATAGATTGGGGCTTTTGCTTATATTTTTTTTTATTACTCAATGTAAGACAAATAGGGAACACACACTGGTAGCTCCCCTACATATGTGTTTATTGTTCCTTTCCCTGGAGTCACAGTCTGAGCTCCCTCTTTTTCTTAATACACACTGCTTACAAAGATACACAAGCAAGTGAAATAACAAAGCTGACCCCTCTGAATAAAGAAGCCATTGCTGTGAAAGAGAAGGTTTAATGTTCAGCTCTTGCATTCATCCACACACAAAGATTAAGAATGGATGTATGCAGAAAATTAAAGTAGTAAAGCAGTGAAGAAGAAAGAATTGGACTCCTCTTAATTACTAAAAGAAGACATAAAAAATAACTTACTAGAATCTGACAGCAACTGAGAATATATCTGTAAGAGTGCAGTACATTTTTAGGTTTTTATATTCAATATTAATTCTGGGAAATACCAGAATTTCTGCAAGTTTGTAAATTCTCTAAGATAAAATGATTGTTCACTTGCCTAAGAAGCAAGAGTAAAACTCATATTCAGTATGAGTCTTGTGCTGATCTTTGATGCTATATAATCATGCTATCTGTTTTTGAAAACAACTACAGAAAACACTTCAGTGTCTTATCTTCATGGAAAAAGGAAAGACAGAATCACAAAGAACAGAAAAGCCAACAACCAAGAACTAAAAGAAACTATGAGAGAGACAAGAAAGTAAAAGCGTAAGACAAAGCTTCCAACCAGCATCTGTTCATCTCCTAACTCTCAGCCTGTCATCAAAACTTTGGAGGCAAAACAGTAAAACAAATACTAACATCATAAAAGCAATTACTTTAATTCTAGCATGCTGATTGTGTTCAAGTTATTTTAGAACTGCACCTAATTAAGAGCAAGAAGTAATTAAATTACTAGACAAAATTAAGAGATAATACTTCCCATTAAGCTTCCATCCCTTTCTTGCACAAATAGCCCTTGGCAGTTTAGTAACAGAAAAAGTTAGCTAGATTAAAATTAAAATAAAAATGGAGCTTTCGGTATTCTTAGGCTCTGGGTGATATAAAATGCTGTAACCTCAAATAGGAACATCGAATTCCCTCAGAGGAATGGTCTTGCTCCTGTTCACACATAGCATGTGGTAAAGAGTTCTTCAAATTATTAAAATCCATTGCACAAGGTAAGTAAAAGATATCCCAGACAAACTGTAATTGTCTAGATAATTACAGATAGCCTTTTGTATACAGAGCATTTTGTATCTCAGTGAGAGACAACAGATTGAGTATATCACCTTACTGAACTACAGAAATTATCCACAACTTCCTCTGCATTGTTATCTTTCTGCACATAAGAAACTTGAAATATCTCATCTAATTTTTGCAAGCACAGCCCGAATCAGTAATACACTGCATAAGTGCAGAAAATTTTTAAAAAAACGTTTTTTCCCTAATGTGAGGATTAAAAGACAAAACTATATGTAGAATTCAGTATCTGTTCTCTGGGAAGTGGGGGTCTTGGGGGTGTGGGGTGGTGGTGTAACTGCAGCTGAAAATATTTTTCAGACACGTAACTGAAAGCATTTCTTAGCCTGGATTAAAACAGATGATGCACTTGAGGATAGAACAACAGTACCTAAAAATGTCATTCACCTGTTCATTACCCTTTAATCTAGGTGTGCCTGTTTTAATTATCCACTGCTCATTCTACTCAAGTTGTGAATTGAAACAGACATTCAGATGACTGATAAATGCTAGTATCTTTTCTCTAAAGGGATTTATGGAAAAATAAACATCTCCACTTAAAAGGGCATTAAAATCAGGTGAAAGAATGAATTTATAAACCAACTACATGTGCATTAGAGTCCAAACACCCTCTAAATAAAAACCTAAATTTAAAGCCAGCCTCTAAATTTGAAACTGAATCACAATAAGACGCATGAATATGAAACTTCCAGCCAATACTCAGGTTCTCCGTGTCCATCAACTCTTTGACAAAAATGACAGGGAATGCATAGAACTAGTCAGGGAAAAAGCACAATTTTGTAAGAACAGAACCTAAATAAGAGAAGCCTCCATCCACTGATCAACAAGAAGGTGTTACAACTATTAATCAGCTATATACTAAAAAGGCAGTACAACAAATCACAGCCTGTTTCCAACAAAGTCAGCAATAAACTCACCTGAAGGCACTGATACCATTAGTAAGGCAACAGATAAAATTATACCCTGAATCAATATAGCAAAAGCAAGTCTTGTAGTAGGGATGACCACTGGAATACATTAACAATATTAACTGGGGCCTTGATCCATTACGTATTGTTCATCCACAATCATAAAATTTTAGAACAAATGTCCTTTTTAAATGGATGATAGAGTAGCAGGTTAGCACATGCTAAATACTTCTCCAACTTTTTAGAATATGTATTTAGGCATACACTTGACAAAGAAGAGTGGAATAAACCATTTGAAAATATTAATTTCTACCAGCAAAAGAGGTAAAACCAGTTGATAAAGAAAAACCTGGAAAAATATCATCCTGCTTCCCTAAATGCCAAGAATAAGAGCAAACTTTGCACTTAGGAGATTAAAAAAAAACCCCAATCTTTCTTTTTGCATTGGTGATTTTTTTAGTATGAAATATATTTCACAATAATATTATAATCCAACTTTGCATTTCTGTAATGAGATTTCAGCATTTTTCTGAATCAACAGGAGATGAAAAGCTAATTCCCTTTGAACAGAAACAGTCTTATAAAGCATAAAGCCTTACAGGCACCAAAGTACCAACTGTGACAGGATATCTCCACTGTCACATGATCCACATGAGGTTTTTTGTAACAGACCAGGCTTCATATAAATAAGACTGTTATTATACAGCACTCTCCTAGATATTTTCAAAGTTTTGGCACATTCAGAAAATGCAGAGAGAAATGAACTCCAAAAAATATAAGCAAAGGGCATTACAGAGCAATAAGAAGACATAATAAAACCTTTTCCTGAACTGTAAAATAATAGCAGTAACAAGGGAGAAAGAGAAAGGATGCTGGTTTATTTTCCTTGAATGTTGTCACTTGCAATAGAAGTGGCCTGGATCACAGGGCAGTTTTCTTTCTAAGGCCAAGGCTTCTCTACCTTGCTGTTGCTGGCTGGACATGACCAGGATAAGATCTCCTTGTGCTCGTGGCTTGCCTTTGTCTAGCCAGGAAGGACTGTCCTGAGCCTGTACTAGCCAGTCTGTCTTCTGCTGCTTTTTTATGCAGAGTCATCCCCTATGGACAGAGATAATTTCTCAGTCAATACCAACATAAAACACTGAACAATTTTATTCATTTACATTTTATTCATTATTTCTGTCTTCACACTAACGAAACTATTTTGAATTCCATGCGCAAAGCATCATATTTTCAAGGACAAAGGTAAATAAGATATTCTTCCTAGTACTTTGTGTGGAACTCTTCCCCTTTCCTGCAGTCATTCTCCAGGTTCAGAGTAACCACCTAAGAACTCGGTATTATGCTTCTCATGGCAATTGGACAATTCCTTTCTAAAGAGCGCTCTCCCCCCCTCCTCCCCCCCCACCCCAGTTCCTAGCTCCTTTCAGTATGTTTCTTCTGAAAAAAGTTTAGGTATTGTCATCCTCTGTGGAAACACCAGCTCATATGTCAGAAGCACATCTTGGGAGACAGGATGTTCTCATCAGGCTAAAACTCAACAAGGAAATGAAGAGAGCTGTGGTGGCTTGTGCAGTTGTATATAAAAGCAGAGGCTAATTAAAGAATGACACAGACACTGCTATCAGTGATCACCTTAGTGTTCATGATAGGTCATTTAACTGTGGGGGTCTTACCTCAGGTTTGTCTTCTACTTTTTAGTGGGACTAATGTTATAAAATTGGCAAAGGACACTGGTCACTTAAAAATACCTTCAATATGCAAACAATTCAAACACTGCTTGAATTTAGACTTGCTATTCATGAACACAAGAAGGATGTAGAAGAGCAAGAAGTAAACTCTTCCAAAGAAATATAGAGAGGAGGAATTTGAATTCTATGATGGAGCAAAATGAAACATTAAAGTTACAGATGTCAAGAGCAGATGTCAAGTAACAGATGAAGAGCAGTCTCAATCCAACTGGTCTGCCAAAGGGAAGTCTTGAACACATCTGATGTGGGTGACAACTCCCCTGGTACACAGGCCCAGCAAACGCTGTATGGCTGCACAGACTCCACCTTCTATCCAAACTTACATTTTGAACAATTTAAGTGAGGGTCTTGCTGATGCCCTCACTCTTTCTATGGGGCTAAATTTGCACCCAAGTTAAAGGGATCACTTCCCAGAGCACTTCACCTGAATTGCAAGTAAGATGAGTTGCTTTGATTGTGTCCCTTCATTACAAACAACTGGAAGACTGGAGAGTGGTGAATCAAAGTAAATTTGAGCACTATAATTTGTGTAAGTGAAGGGCTGGGATTACAAAATAGTAATCTGGGCCATTTCTGATTTTAAAACTTGAAAATTACAAACTTCTTTTTTTATTTTTCACAAGATTATGATAGGAACATACTTAAACATAGAGATAACTTAAGATTATACTAGAAAGTATTTGCTTCTGTATTCGTGTATTGGAAAATGCTTTTCAAACAAAAAAAGCATGTAAATTCATGTAAATGAATGAATGATGTTATAAACCTACTAGAAACAAACAATATTAACAGTTTCTTTCTTTTCATTTTCTTCTCAATTAAAAGGTTTGTGAGATTCTTACCATGTTGTACCAGGCACTAACGATAAATTTCTCCTCCATTTCTCTTTGACTTTTTGTTTTCTCATATTCTTTCTATAAAACAAAAATCCATATATTTAAAGCCAAAGTATAATAGAAATATTAGTCTCTAACTAAAAACCAATGAGTTTTTACCACAAAATGTAAGGATTACTACCTCCAGGGAATGAAACTTTCTGTCTCGCTCCTGCAACTGGTTTTTCAGTGCCTGAATCTCAGGAGCAGCACCCTGGTTCTGTTTAGGATCTAATGTGCGGATGACCTGTAAGAGAAAACCAGTTTGTTTTTTATTAAATCCTGCAAAAGCAATTGTGTTAAGGAATAAAAACCTTTCAAGTCAGGTTAAGAAATTAAAAAAAAAAGTAACTTAAAATATGTCTACCTCTCTCATCAACTGTGACATATTAGAGCACCTGAACCAGGGTCACCTTTACAGGACTGGGAAACAAAACTACTGACAAGAAAAAGTGAAACCTAAAAGGTTCAGTATCCCAGACTGACATTTGCAGTTCCTAACCCAGGCTACATTACCTTGGGGCCATGGTGACAGAAACAACTTCTATAAGGTTCTCTTTATGGTTGTGATTTTCCTGCCTGTCAGTTTCACCTGCTTGAGGAAGGACTGCTTCTGTCCTTATGGATATTTGCCAGGATTCACCTACCTGGGGTACCAGGTGCTGTAACTTCTAGGTCGCTCTATTAAGCCAAAAAGCACTCTGTGGGACATACGTAATTGTTATGCTACTAAAAAGATGAAGGGACACCGGGTACATTTGTACGTGTCACCCAAGAGTGCTAGTAAACAGAGCTAAACCAAGAACAAATTCAGAAAAATGCCTGAATTATTAAGCCTTTAATAGAAAATAGCTTGAAACTCTTTAACAACCTCTGGCTACAGAGAAATAGACTTCTCATCTCTTATCTTTCTACCTATTTCAGAGCTGTGTATAGGATGCTGAAATAAAACAATGCTTTAAATTTTAGTGAGACATTTTTACTCTATGGTAAACATGATGCTATGAGGAGTGGTTGAGGGAGCTGGGAGTGTTCAGCCTGGAGAAAAGACAGCTCTGGGAGCCCTCATCACTGTCTACTTAAAAGGAGGTTGTAGCCAGGTGGGGGTTGTGGCCTCTTCTCCCAGGCAACCAGTGACAGGATGAGACAACAGGGCCTCAAGCTGCGCCAGGGAAGGTTTAGGTTGGATTGTTAAGCATAGGAATGGGCTGCCTAGGGAGGTTGTGTAGTCACCATCCCTGGAGACGTTCAAGGAACTGGATGTGGCACCTAGTGCCATGATTTTGTTAACACGGTTGTGATCAGTAGAAAGCTCACTTAATGATCCTGGAGATCTCTTCCAACCTAAATAGTTCTACAATTCTACTCTAAGAAAGCATGTTATTTTTCTAAGAAAATACTCATTAGACCTGGATACAGCTTCCATAGCAGAAGACTATAATGATTCTACAAAAAAAAAAAAAAAACCTGCAGCAAAACCCATCAAAACCACAAAAAGAAAAAGAAACAAACAACAACAACAAAAAAAAAACCAAACCAAACAGAAATATTACAAAAAGTTAACCTAATTAATTAATGCTACTGGTGCATAAAATACCCTTTAGTAACACAGTACATACCAATAAGCGAATCTTACAGAAAAGGGTGAAGTCTTTCAGAGGAATATACTCTAAGACACAACAACCAATATAAAATGGCAGGGCAGGGGGACAGAGGAGAAATTTTTTTAGACTTCCTGAAGACATTTCACACAAAGTCATTCAGGAAACTCCACAGACATAAAGGAAGAAAGCATAAAGTTTTGCCAAATTAGGAACCTACTCATGGATTCCAATGTAATGATACGCATTTAAGGACACTGATATGCTTTTAAGAAACTCAAAAGAGCAATGTATAGTAAGAGAAGAAATGGGACTATGATTAAGACCACCATATTACCATTTCAAAGCTAGTAGTATAACCATACTACTAGTTATGTTGTCAATACTTAAATATTAGTCACCTTCTTGACAAGCATATATTAAGCAATAAAGGCAAAAGAGAATGCCAAACATCATCAGAGAAATCTAACAACTATTGAAGGTGATCCAGTCAAAAAAATCACTTTACTGCAAAAAGGCATCAATAAAAGAGTCTCAAAACTGGGGCAATCTTCTGCACAATTAATCCATATTAAATACTGAAACAATGAAGCTTCCTTCTCTTTAACTTATTAGTGTGTATACAGATACCTCCTTCGTTTTTATTCCCACAGAGTGGACACGTAATACAGTCTCTGTCAGACAGCGATAATTAATGTGGAACACATCTACTTACACTTTTGGCCTTTTCCAAGTACTTTTTGTATCGTTCTTCCATTTGCTTCATTTCCTCCTCCTTTTTCCGTAGTGCTTCTTGTAATTCCTCAATTTTAAGTGCTTTATGTCAGGAGATGCACACATTGGAAAACAACTTCATTACATTATGCATATTTTCATGTTTTACAACAGGCACTTAAGACACAGCTAAAATATATGTCAGTTAAGAAAATCTGACATAAGAAATCTAATGTGGTACATATCACAGATCTAATTAGTGTACAACTCAGAAACACATTAAAAATATGTACTCCTATAAAATCTCATAAAATGGATTTCTGGGACATAGTTTTGCTTTTTAAAATTATGACAAATAAAGAGAAATGGAATTATAAAGTAATCATGTCACTGAACACATTTAGAAAATGGGTCTACTAATGACTTACAGCTACTATAATATCTTGGCATGTCATACAGGCAAATATGATTTTTCTTATTTTATGTAAGAGGAATAATTCCTAAGAGGCACAACTCCTGCTTAAATCTACTAAACTGTAACATGAACATACTAATTTAATTTCCCCCTCACACTTTCTTAAGCAGCAATTGAGATCAGTAGGACAATTTAACTGCACATATTTTTCTTGTGTTGGTGTAAGAATGTCATGCCACTATTACTTCTACATCTTCTATACAACTTCTCAGATCTCTCTCTCTCTTCTCAGAAAACAAAATCATATTTTTTCCTCCATCTCATTATGAACAAAATAATTTTACCACAAACTAGAGCAGCTGCCATGGGTTACAATCTTCTGCCTTGTTCTATAGTAACTAGTCTTTCGAAAAATCCAGACTACCTCCCTTATTACTTCTCTGGAAAAAACGTAGCTAAAAACCAACTAGATGCCAGGTTCTGCATACCCTCTGAGCAAATATGGTATCTATCTTACATTCTTCTTTTACCAGTAATGGAAAGTTTTCTCAAATTACAACACGTTTTTGAAAACACATTGAAGGAATATACAATGGAAGTAAAAATGAGTCTGTGACAACAGCAAGACATTAGGGTCTTATGAGACATGACAGTTCTGGAGAGCTGAAGTTCGACACCAGGTATGGCAGTGAGCTGGTATTTCTATGGAAAACGAATTGTGGTTTGGACTAGATGATCTTTAAGGCTCATTCTAACAATCTTAGCATTTTATGGTTCTATGATTTCTTACTACAGTGTTCCTAAAATGTGATTCCCATGTATATAAAGTGTTAAAAGCATCTTTTTGGTCACCCTAGTTTCCAGAGACATGAACAACATACGTGTGTCACTTCCATTAAAGATGTACATTTTGCTTACCTGACACCTTCTTTAGGTACTATAATTAAAGATGTTGCACATGAAATAATTTACAAAGGAAATAAATGGACTGCACAGGTAACTCACAACTGTTGTTGCATATTGGTTCCAAATCTTCAATAATAGCTCGTTTCTTCTGTAGCTCATTGTTAGCTTCATGGAGCTTCTCACTGTTACAAACCACAGAGGCATATATTGTTTCCCAGTCTATTACTGTGCTTGAAATGAGTACTAAGCAGTACAGAAAATCCTCATAGAGAGATTATTTCTAAGGGCATGACTGATTTTTTTTTTTCCTGCAGAGCATGAGGACAAGTGACAATATCACTGTAGAAATATTTACTAGATAAGATGAAAAAACATTGTCCTGTATGGAGAACTCCAACAGCAAACTCTGTCAGTAACTGTACTTAATTTAGTATAAATTCACTGTACAATGAGGGCCTAAAATGAATACTTATTTATAACTGATATTACATTGAGGAAAGAACAGCCAAACCCAAGGGCAAGAGAAACTTCTTTTTGCAAGACACTCAAAAAACAAATATTCTTTAGGGAAGTAAAAGATATGCAAAAATAGCACAACAAAATTATAGCACCTCCTAAAGTATTACCTTCTATGTCATAATGTATAGCAAAGAGAAAATAAACTAATTTTGTTTATATTAACATGCTTTCCTCAGAAAAAAATTACTCAGTCCTCTTGAGCAAAGATTTGCACAATGTTATGCAAAGTTTTCTACCCAACACAAAATGATGGTTCCCTCATTGCTCTTACTTTCACAATGGTATTCTATGGGAAAAAAACAGAACCTGAACAGTAGACTCCCAAATATTCCTGTGTTATCTAATCTCTCTGAGTTGTATATTTTACAGATCCATGATTAATGACTGTCTGCCTTCCTCATTATATGGAAAAACACATAATTTCCAACTACATACAAAATAAGCAAACAATAATACTTACAGATGTTCTTCAAGTTTCTTTTTCAGAAGAACTGACTAAAATAGAAAGTTAAATGTTTTATTTTAATGTATTGTGAAAATATAAAAGATGTTAAAGCTAACATTTTAAAAATTATTTTAAAACATGCAGTTTTGACATTCTAATCAAAAACCAACTTTTTAACTTCAGTTTTAGATCACAACTGTAAAGCCTCTGTGGTAGCAACCTTTCTCTTCAGATTTATGACTTCAGTAAAACTAGAACCCTTTAGAACTTTACAAATCTTGTCCCAAGAACTAAATCAATAAAAGCAATATCCATAAATGACAGAATTCTTAAGGCAGTTGTTTTAATTTGTTCAGTACTTTGTATTGGAAAGTGCAGCAAAATTTGCAAGCGCTGTCCTGCCAATATTGCATTGCAACTTGCATGAAGACATGTAGCAAATTAGTTGAAAGTAAATTCCCATCCCCACAGAAACTAGAAGGAGCAGAGTATTTCTAACTGTAGTGTAGCATAAATGTCACATTTTTGGTGTTTCTTATCTTTATGGATTACAGACACATGAAAATCACCGTACAACTTACAGTGTTCCACTTTCTGGTTATATCATATTTAGATAGGCTATTCGAATAAAAACTTTGAAGTAATTTTTAAATTTTAAACTCACTTCATACACAGTGAGTATCTCTCAAAAGGAAAAAAAACCCAAACGCAATAAATGTTTATGAACTGAAAGTAGTGTTAAGTAAATAGAAAGCCATACTCACAATAGCCTTGAGCAGAAGCCCATGCCAAGAAACAGAGATGACATTAGTATAAAGCAAAACAGCAGCCAACAGAAGAAACTATTTAGAAAGTCATGAACAGAGAAAGTTAAAGCTATGTATTTTTCACACATGTGCAATTTCTTCCTCTGTTCTCACGAACAATTTCATCTTGTAACATTTTCTAAAACATGTCACTAAACCCAAAAATATAAAAATAACAAAGATGCACATTTACAAATCATTGTGCTTAAATCATAATTCTAAAGGAAATCAACTGCTATTTTGGAAAGTAATTTTAAAACAAAAGTCATATAACTAATAAAACCAAGGAAAATAGCCAGTCTGTTGGGCTACAACCAGAACTAATAAATGCAGGTGTTTTTGTGGTGTGATGCTGAATTGCGTTATTGCCACACTGATTGAATACAAAGCAAATGTAACATATTTAAATCTGCAACTGTTTTTTTAGCTTGTATTTATACTGTTTTGATCACATGGAAGGGTTAGCATGTGACTGATGGTCCACAACACCATCAAAATGTAAGCTAAAATAATCAACAAAATTACTTCATTGTTTTTCCACCAATGTTCCTTCAAAAAAGATTTAGTCATCTTGCTAGCAGAAAAAAATTACCGTGTGCACTCAGAAAGCTTTTTAGTTTGGTTATACTTCAAAATATTGTCTTTGATCACGTTTCTGGGGCATGTTTTTTCATTATTACAAAAGAGATTTTCTTATTGCATGACATGAAAGGTGGGGAGCCACAAAAACAAGTCCATATGGCTCTACTGATTTCAGAGTCAGAAATTTGCAGCAGCTAAGGATCTGCAGGTTTTGACCAAATGTTTTTTTCATTTTCCAGTCCTCTGAACAACTGCAGCAGCACTACCTTTTCTAAATATTTGTATTCCTCTTTATCAGTCACAAATCACTTGAACTCTCCTCATCACTTATATCTGATCATATATACTGGCTGCCTGGAACAAGAAAGGGAAAAAGTTGGAAGCAGTGCCCACTTCCCTAAGGTCACAAAATCAAAACTGAACTCAGTTTGTTGGTTTTTTTTGATCCTTGTATTGCACTCGGGTTTATCTTGAAACAGATACAACTATTAGTCAACACTGATTCCACTGGTGCACTACTTAGCTAGTACGTGCACTACTGAGGGAATAACCCCTCCCCCAACAAGATAACGTTTTCACAAGCAAGAAACTAAGTGTGATAAACAGCCCAAACAATTAAAAGAAGCAGTAATTAGTTTACCCACTTTAATTTACTCAAGACACACGACTAGGAAGGAGACTAAAACACTCAATGTGCCACTCTAGGCACCCAAAGATCCTGTATATACTTGGCAGATAAATTCAAACAGATCACTCTAAAAATAGGCAAACATTACTTCTGGGATTTCGGCAGTATCAGTAAGCTTTAAACCTCATACAAATTTAAAATGTAATTACTATAACTGTTGTTCTCTCCTAGGAAGATGAGTCTCCTAAACACTACAGAAATAAAAGTCTTTTTGCTTGAAGTTCCTTTCATGCTTAAACAAGTCAAAGGAACAAGTCTGTCCCCTTTCTCAGGGCAAAATTTGGTTCAGTTTTAGGGGCAGATGGCTAGGTTCTGGCCTGAGGTTAAGCCAATTTCGCAGAGTGTGGGAAACTATGGGTCACTTCATAAGACTGCTGGATAAGATCACTAACACTGTGAGGTGATCAAAGTCACAAAACAGCACCATGACGGACGGTCAGACTTCAAGGATGCTGAGAGTAATGATAGAACAGTTTGGGTTGGAAGGGACTTTTAAAGTTCAACCCCCTGAAACAAGCAGGGACACCTTCAGATCAGGTTGCTCAGATCCCTGTCCAACCTGGCCTTGAATATTCCGTGGATGAGGCATCTACAGCTTCCCTGGGCAACTTGTTCCAGTGTCTCACCAAATGAAAGAGTGCCTCAACTTCATGGGTAAGTGCAGAGGTAACAGAGTTCTCGGTTGTTGTATCAGTTACAGCATGTAAGGCCAAGACTGCATATGTTACATTATGAAAAACATTAGGCGTGGGATGGATTTAACAAGTGGGGCAGAATTAACAAAAGGCAGGGTGTTTATATAGGAAGAGATTAGGGCAGAGAACAGGAGAACAATGACGATAAAAGACAGTGAGAAGACATGCAAATGGTGTAGCCGAAGCTGTTCAGGTAACTGCTGAGTAGCCCCACATGACTACTGCATTCTGGAGGACAATAAATCAAGTCTATTCCGAACACAGCAGACACACGTGAGTTGATTCTGTAGTCTGAAAGATGAGGGTAAGGAGGCCATTGCCTGGCTAGCAAGGTAACACTCAGGATGGACTAATCATGCATCCCAACAGAATGTGTCAGTGCCCATTACAGGCCCAATGACACAGAGCTGCCTTCCACTGCACTTCAATACAAAACCAGAACTGCTTGCCGCAGTAGGCCTTGGCACGCAGCATGTAACGCTGCAAGGACGCTTGCCAGGGTTACAACACTGCTTCTAAATATTTTTGGGCATGTTTGAAAAAATCTTCATCTTTAAAACCAAACAATACTTAAAAGAAAAAAAAACCAAAAACACAACATAAAACAAACCTGAACTCTCACCATGCATTTCTGGACTCAATTAAAATGAAGTGCCAATTTTCTGGTTTGAGCACATTTATAGTATAAGTTTGTAAAAATACAAATTTCAGTGCATGGTTGCAGAAAAATAGCAAAAAACAGAGGAAATGAGTTGAAAATTATGTAGTGGTGAACAGTATGCCATGTCTCTCCTATTGCTTTTTCGTATGTTTCTGAAGAATCCCTCTTTTTGTATGGCTATTCTACAGATCACTCAGGTAGTCTCAGCACAACTTGTATCTCCTTCAGCAGCTGGGGTTTAACTTCTGAGATTTGCTCTGCTTTACAAGGGAGATGGCATGAGGAGACCACAATGTTAGAGATTCTTCATACTCAATGCTTCCCTGAATCTACACTCACTCTTTTGCTTCCTTAAGAGTAAATGAAATCAAACTTAGCAAAACAGGCCATGGGATCAGTGTCTATAAATCACCGCTGCTATGGTCAGACCAACACAGAAGTCATGAATGCAGACACACCCCAGCCAGAGCCTCAAAAGGGGCACAATTAAAATTGCAGTAAATAAAGCCAAATACAATTTGACAGGGATCAAATACACAGTATCTGAAAATAATTCTTTCATATTCTTGCTCACCCTGAAAAGATTTTGGGCAGTGATCAAGACAGCAAAGAACATCTCAGAATATACCTATTTTAACATGTATTCTAAAATGCTTTCTAAGTTACTCAGGAAAATAATCTTGTTGGAAATCAACTAGGTGTTGAACATTCATATCGTTTATTCTGAAAATGAAAAGAGTAAACTAAATTTAACACACTCTTAAATGAACATAAGCATCTAGTAAAAAGACTTTCACTATTTTATATAAATTAGATAAAACAAACCCACAAAAATAGAAAGCAGCACATTACAGTTTGTTGTCAATTAGCCACATGATACACTGAGATTGTGAGCATACACTACGCATGTACAGTTCAACAAATTGCTGCTTTCAAGAAAGTTCTAGAGCTTCTTTTTTGAATACAGGAGACAATAAACAATTTTTGAGTGGAAGACTGAAAGTTGTTTTCCACACTAACTCAGTTACAAACTGTATTCTTACATCTAAAATAAAGTTAACTCTGTACACAAACAGAAAATGCTGCAGTGTGTTGAGGGCCAAATTATTTGACTTTTTTATTAGTTTTGGTCTGCCTGTCTTTTTTCATTCTGAGATACATTTACATGAAGAATTACAGACCTTCCAGTGCCTGGAAAGACCTTAACTTTCATTAAGAAAACTAAACCCAAAACAAGCTCAGATGCTTTATTCATGGAGAATCAACATTTCCTCAATTCCCTGCAAAGTTCTCTATTCTAATTAAGTAATTCTAATGTTGAGTTTTCTATTGCAACAGACACAATTATTCAAATAAAACATGTATGACACCTTCTCTACATGGGATGGTTTTCTATTCTAGACGATTGTCTTGCATTCCAGTTAAAGAAGCACAGTTTACTGGCAAATACAAAAAACTACTAATCTCAGTTTGTATAATTCTTTTACTTTTTTTTTAATAAAAACGTGAAAGGTTAAAAAACAGTAGCTACTTGAATGTAAGTTTGCGGTACATTTCTACTTACATCTTCAGCTTTTGAACCTTGATCCTGCAAAGATTTTTGTAGCTCTTCAACCTGGGACTGTACTTCCAGAAGTCTCTGATTTACCAATCTAGAAAAGTGATAATATTTGTTTTTCAGAAAAAAAAAACAAAATGCAAGAGGAAGTCTCAGATTTTTAGCATCCAGTGCTTTCAGATTATCTATACCAAAAAATGCAATACTGTAAGTTACTCAAGAAAAAATTACAGCAGTAGATAGAGCTTACAGCAGTTCCAGAGATTATAACATTCAGATGTTCATCCAGAACATTCTCATATTCTCAAGGCCAACATAAATGCATGCAAAAATCAGTTCTATATACATGAAAGAAGAACTTTTAACTGTCAGTTTTACTGTGTGAGCAGCTAGCTTATGCTTTTACACTGCTACAGAACCCCATAAACCTGTAGGTTGGAAGGGATGTTGCCTAGATCCAACCTCCTCCATAAAGCAGGTGCGCTTACAGCAGATTGCTAGAACCAGGTTTGAATACTTATAAGGACAGAGGTCTAACAGTCTCTTTGGGCTTCTCTTTGAGAGCTCAGAACCCATACTCCATATTTTGTCTGTTGCCTCTTGTCCTTACACTAATAATCTCTTGAGAACAGTCCAAATCTGCCTTCTTTCTACCTTCCCATCAGACAGATGCAGTTCACAATGCACTCTCCTCTATGTCACCTATCCTTTGGCCTGGACAAAACCAGTTCTCCGTTTTATCCCACCTATCATACACTCCAGTGTCTCTCACCCTAGTAGTATTCTGCTGAACTTCTACACATCCACATCTCTCTGGTACTAGGGAATCCAAAATTACATGCTCTGTCCAGATGTGACAGCATAAGTTGATGAGAGGCAAACAATTATTTTCCCAGACTGATTGCCTGCACCTCAGTGAGGACAGTCCAAATCACAGACATCTTCAAGGTCCCCACATAACACATCCTCCTTTGCCACCCACTAGGATGCCAAGGCTTCTGCAATAGAGCTGCTTCACCGCCAGGGACAGGGGTCCAACCAGTTCATTTCTCTGAACTGTTGAGCGCCTCTGAAGAACAGCTTTCGCTTTCAGGACATCCCAAAGTGGTACCACTCTCAAACTTGCTGAGTGTTGCCCTTCTCATCAGTGAAGCTGTTAATAAAAGTGATGAGCAGTGCGGATACTGGTACTGATGACTAAGGAACTGGTTGCCAGCTGGGTTTCACCTCACTGACAATAATACTACCTTAGGCTCAGATGTCTGATCACTGTCCAAGTTTTTTTTGCTCACTTTACTGTCCACTTATTTAGTTTATATCTAGCCATTCTGAACATAAGGATACCATGGGACACTTTATCAAAAGCTTCACTAAAGCTAAGTACTGTCCCCTGTTTCACCTTTCTTCACATGTGCAGTCATCTCATTGTCAAGACAATTCAATTAATTAGGCATGATCTGCTCTGAGTAAATTCATGTTGACATTTGTCAATTACTTTCCTATCCCTCATATGGCTGGAAACCAATTGCAAATGGATTTGCTTTCTGAAATTTCCAGAAAGCAAGCTGTGGCTCACCAATCCCTGTAACTCCTCATGCTCTTTTTCTTGCTCTTCTTGAAGGTGAGTGCAGTATTTACTTTCTTTCAGGTTTAAGGCACCTCCCCCGGTTGAAGGGGAAGATAGGGGAAGATTAGATAAAGAACAGATTTGAAGATAAGAGAGAAAGCAGCCTCCCGTCACTATCAGCCAAATGCTGCGGCATGCTCTGATGCACTCTGTCTGGTCCTTATGATGATGTCCATATGCTGATTGGCTCAATCCAGCAGGGTCAGCTAGAGAAAGCTGTTGAGGAATATGTCCTGCTGAGTTTTAAATATCTACAAGGATGGAGACAACCTCTCTGGGCAACATGCTACAGAGCTCAGCAACCCTCACAGTGAAAAAAAAGTATGTTCTTACATCTGGATGAAATACTGTGTGTTTTAAACTCTGCCCACAGCCTCTTGCCCTGTTACTGCGTATTACTGACAAGAGTCTATCTCCACCTTCTTTAGACCCTCCCATCATACATTTTGGTAAGATACAGTGACAAGATCTAACCTAAGCCTTCTCTTTTCCAGGCTACATAGTCTCTATCCCTCAGACTTTACTCATACAAAAGACTCTGCAGTCCTGTAATCACATCCTTATGACCTTTCACAGGACTGATTCCATTAAATCATGTCATTCTTCTCCTGGGGATGCCTGTAGGAAAGTCAGCTGAAGCAGAGGACAAAATTTATTACCTGTTTTCTGTCTCCAGTTCATTCTTCCGTAAGTTTGCATCATCAAGAAGGCTCTGCAACAAGGCAATCTTCTCATTGTCAGAACCTTCTTGGTTCAATTTTAACATCTTGTTCTCATGCTGAAGGCGGATGAGTTTCTCCCTAAATGCAATTAGGGAGAACACAGTTGCGTGAAAAAAAGAATGCCGATATCTATAACAAAGTAAACAGCTTACCACAGGAAGTAAAATAGTAATATGAATATCATCTTTTTAAGGGAGATGCTGCAACAACAATCATATCTTCAAGCCCCAAAATATAAACCAAATTTAAGGAGTTGTAATTGCAGAATGCAGAACACAAGGAAATTACCTCAGTGGCCCCATCAGATTTCACAGTACAGCTCAACAGATTTATAGGAAGAACAGAGAATGCAAAACTTAATACCAAGTGTGAAGAAAGACTGTAATCTGAAAGGTGTAAGCTCAGCTGTCACTGAACTACTGCATAAACCTGAGCAAGCCACTTCAGTGCTTACACAGAATCTGTTTACACAGAATCACAGCATCATTTGGGTTGAAAAGACTCTTCAGCAAGATCCAACATAAGCCCAGCACTGCCAAGTGGACCATAGAACCATGTACCATAAGCATCACATCTACACATCTTTTAAACACCACCAGGTGTTGGGGAGGGTGAAACAGGGAAACCTTATGAATGTGATTGTTTGGCAGAAGATTCTGAAAATATGAAGGCTAAAATCAAAGTACAAATGAAAGCCTGCTTTGAGTCATAGGATAGTGAGTACTGGTTAACCAAAGAACAATAGCCTAGCCAGCTAGAGGAGAATCCCTGTTGATAAAACAACGTCCTTCTGTTGATAGAAAGTCCCGAGGTCAAGAAGCAAGGAAAGAACTTGTAAAGCTTTGTAGAGTCTAAAATGCAACACTCTATGTTAATATAGGGAAGCGCATAGGCTGTATGTAAATTCTGTAGTGGGTGTGTCTCATAGTGATTGGTTATTCATTATTATTCACTAATATTCACTATAGAAAAAGATACATTGGATTGTAACAAGAACTTCGCTCTCTTAGCTTTTCTCTCTTAACCTCTCTCATATCTCTTGGCTCTTCTCTCTTACCCCTTTACCCCTCTCTCAGCTCCCCTCTCCCACTCTCTTACCTCTTCCACTCTTTCCCTCTCTTACTCTTACCCTCTTGGTTTTTCCCCTCTTATTCCTCTCTTGTCTTCCCCCTCTCATAAGCCTCCCTGTTTTTTCCCTCTTTCCCTCTGTTGTTCTTATGCCCTCCCTCCCCTTTTCCAACCTCTCCTCCCTGCTCTCCACACTCTC